TGGATGGATGGATGGATGGATGGATGGATGGATGGATGGAAGGATGGATGGATGGACAGACGGGTGGTTGGGTGAGTGGATGGATGCATGGATGGATGGATGGATGGATGGACAGACTGGGGGATAGATGGATGGATGGACAGATGGATGGATAGATGGATGGACGGACAGGTGGATGGGTGGGTTGATAGATGGTTGGACAGGTGGATGGACAGATGGATGGGTGGATGGATGGATGGGTGGATGGACAGATGGACAGGCAGCTGGATGGATGGATGATTGGATGTGTCAGCATATGACCAGCTGGTCCAAATCCCATTTAACATAGATGGTCTATGGCCTGGGATCCTGAAAACAGCCTGTGCTGGTGGCCTTCACCTGGGCCTCCCTCATGCTCCTTGTAGCTTATCAGCCACATTCCCTGGGAAGGCAACATGCCCATCCAGCCCTTGGCACACTGAACCCCAGGTGTAGATTTATGTCTCAATCTGGAGCACCCTGAGAGTGGCATGTCTGGTCCTCTCTGACCCCAGCCAGGGTCCAGACCAAGGCTGAGCCAAAAGCAAGGGCTTGGTGAGGGCTTGGTGAGCACGCCCATGGGGCTGGGAGCCAGGAGGCCTTGGTCTTGGGCTCTATTTAGAGCAGCAAGGCCAATGCTCACCCTCTCACCATGCCAGGCCTCTCTCCCTAAGGTCCTGCCAGGACTCCTTTAGGCATTGGGGTCCTCTAGGGACCTGTCACCTCACCCTCCCTGAGGCAGCCTCAGACCTGAGAGAGGGCACCCCTGTTGCCCCTGTCCTGACCCTGAGGGTACATGGGAAGGGAAGGCATTGGTTCGGCCCCCACCCACGCAGGCATGGGTCTGGCAGGCCCACAGTGTCTTGCAGATTGCCGGGAGCCACTTCCCTGGCTGGTGCTGGACCTGCCACAAGAGGACCTGGAGGAAGACGCCCCAGGAGCCAGCCTGTGGCCCACCACCGTCACCCTGCTCACCCTCTTCCTACTGAGTCTCTTCTACAGCACAGCACTTACTGTGACAAGCATGCGGGGCCCAGCTGACAGCAGAGAGGGCCCCCAGTACTGAGCAGAGGCCAGCCAGGCTCAGGTAGGGGTGAGGAGGCAGAGGGCAGGGCTGGCTGGGGCAGGGGGTCAACCACCAGAACATCTGCCTGTTCCCCGCCCCTGGGGGTCTGACTTCCCAAGGAGGTGGTCCCCCCTCATAGACACTGAAGATATGGGCAGTCCTGGGGGCAGAGCTGAAATGTCCCTCAGCAGGATCTGGGAGTTAGCACCCCTGGATACAGTCACTGAAGGATTCAACCCATCTCCCCTGAGGCAGGCAGGGCTGGGGAAAGGGCATTGGCAAGGAGCTCCCCTGGGCCCTGACCCCACTGTGTTTGCAGGGAGGAGTCTGGAGGAGCCTCCTGGAACCCCAGCTGGATGCCATAGCTCAGCCCTGCTCAGAAGCTGCCAACTCACCCCACACACAGGCCTTGCTGGTGCAATAAACTGATCCCAAAGACAAAGGTTCTCAGACTCTAATTGAGAGGAGGGGGAAGGAGAGAGACAGAGGCTTGGGAGAGGGGGACACTTGCCTCATAGCCCAAGGTGAGGCCCCCTTCACCGACAGCCCACCTGATCTGGTCCTGCATAAGGCACAGGCACAGGATAAGACTGTCCTTCACCAAGGACAGTATGAAGCAAGACTACCCCCAAGCACTGCACCCAGGACCCTGGTCCTGGTCACTGAGCCCTGGTCCTGATCACTGGGCCCTGATCCTGGTCACTGAGCCCTGGTTCTGGTCATTAAGCCATGATCCTGGTCACTGAGCCCTGGTTCTGGTCACTGAGCCCTGATCCTGGTCACTGAGCCCTGGTACTGATCCCTGGGCCCTGGTCCTGGTCACTGAGCCCTGGTCCTGGTCACTGAGCCCTGGTCATGATCACTGAGGCCTGGTCATGATCACTGAGACCTGGTCCTGATCACTGGGCCCTGGTCCTAATCACTAGGCCCTGGTAATGATCACTGAGGCCCAGTCCTTGTCAATGGGCCCTGGTCCTGGTCACTGAGCCATAGTCCTGTTCACTGAGCCCTTGTCCTGATCACTGGGCCCTGGTCATGATCACTGGCCCTGGTCATGATCACTGAGGCCTGGTCCTGATCACTGGGCCCTGGCCATGATCACTGAGCCTTTGTTCTGATCACTGGGCCCTGTTCCTAATCACTGGGCCCTGGTTCTGGTAACTGAGCCCTGATCCTGGTCACTGAGCCCTGGTACTGATCATTAAGCCCTGGTCCTGGTCACTGAACCCTGGTTCTAATCACTAGACCCTGGCCATGATCACTGAGGCCTGGTCCTGATCACTGGGCCCTGTTCCTAATCACTGGGCCCTGGTCTTTGTCACTGATCCCTGGTCCTGATCACTGAGCCCTTGTCCTGATCACTGGGCCCTGGCTATGATCACTGAGCCCTGGTCCTGGTCACTGAGCCCTTGTCCTAATCACTAGGCCCTGGTCTTGATCACTGAGGCCTGATCCTGGTCACTGGGCCCTGATCCTAATCACTAGGCCCTGGTCATGATCACTGAGCCTGGGTCCTGGTCACTGGGCCTGGTCCTCATCACTGAGCCCTAGTCCTGCTCACTGAGCCCTTGTCCTGATCACTGGGCCCTGGTCCTGATCACTAGGCCCTGGTCATGATCACTAAGGCCTGGTCCTGTTCATGGGCCCTGGTCCTGGTCACTGAGCCCTAGTCCTAATCACTAGACCCTGGTCATGATCACTGAGGCCTGGTCCTGATCACTGGGCCCTGGTCCTAATCACTAGGCCCTGGTCATGATCACTGAGGCCTGGTCCTGGTCACTGGGCCCTGGTCCTGGTCACTGAGCCATAGTCCTGGTCACTGAGCCCTTGTCTTGATCACTGGGCCTTGGTACTGATCACTAGGCCCTGGTCATGATCACTGAGGCCTGGTCCTGATCACTGGGCCTTGGTCCTTGTCACTGAGCCCTGTTCCTGATCCCTGAGCCCTGGTCCTGGTCACTGAGCCCTTGTCCTGATCACTAGGCCCTGGTCCTGGTCCCTGAGCCCCTGTCCTAATCACTAGGCCCTGGTCATGATCACTGAGGCCTGATCCTGGTCACTGGGCCCTGGTCCTAATCACTAGGCCCTGGTCATGATCACTGAGCCTGGGTCCTGGTCACTGAGACCTGGTATAACCACTGGACCTTGGTCCTGGTCACAGAGCCCTGGTTCTGATCACCGGGCCTTGGTCTTGGTCACTGAGCTCTAGTACTGATCACTGGGCCCTGGTCCTGGTCATTGTGACCTGGTACTAATCAC